TCTTAAATGTATATGCACCTAATGGGGGAACAGCTAAATATTTAAAACAATTGCTAACAGATTTTAAGGAGGACATTGCTAGCAACACAATAGTACTTGGAGACTTCAACATCGCCTTACCACCTCTGGACAGATCAAGAAGAACAAAACCCAACAAGAAATCATTGGCTTTGAAAGAAGAAATAGAAGAGAAAGGGCTTATAGACCTATACAGGGCTTTACAACCCAAAAAGAAAGAATACACATTCTTCTCCAGTGCACACAGAACATTTTCCAAAATAGACCATGTGCTAGGACACAAAACATACCTCAACAGTATCAGGAAGATAGAAATAGTATCAGCCATCTTTTCAGAGCATGATGCACTGAGGATAGAAGTGAATCACACACAGACACAGAGAACCAAATCAAACACCTGGAAATTAAACAACTCAATGCTGAACAAAGAGTGGGTCAGGAACGAAGTCAAGGACGAAATCAAAAGATACCTGGAAACAAATGAGAATGAAGACACAAGCTACCCCAATCTATGGAATGCAGTGAAAGCCTTATTAAGGGGAAAATTTATAGCTCTGCAAGTATATCTTTGATCTGTAGAAAGGATTCACATAAACAACTTGACCTCACAACTCAAGACCTTAGAAAAGGATCAACAGAAAGAGCCTAAATCAGGCATAAGGAAAGAGATCATAAAACTTAGAGCAGAAATCAACGACATGGAAACCAAAGAAACAATCCGAAAGATCAATGAAACCAAGAGCTGGTTCTACGAGAAAACAAACAAGAGAGATAAACCACTAGCAACCCTCACAAAGAAAGAGAGAGAGAGAAACCTAATAAACCAAATCAGAAATGAGAAGGGGGATATCACAAAAGAAACCAAAGAAATCCAAAAGGTCATCAGAGAAAACTTTGAAAGTCTGTATGCCACGAAACAAGAGAACCTAGAAGAAATGGACAAATTCCTGGACTCCTATAATCTCCAAAAGCTGAATCAAGAAGAGCTGGAGTATCTGAATAGACCTATTAACATCAATGAAATCGAAACTGTAATCAAAAGTCTTCCCAAAAACAAAAGCCCAGGTCCAGATGGATTCACTAGCGAATTTTTCCAAAGATTTAAAGAGGACCTATTGCCAGTACTTCTCAAGCTTTTCCAGGAAATTGAAAAAACGGAAACTCTCCCAAACAGTTTCTAAGAAGCCTATATCTCTCTAATACCAAAAGGAAACAAAGATATCACGAGAAAAGAAAACTACAGGCCGATATCCCTGATGAACACAGATGCGAAGATTCTCAACAAAATACCAGCAAATAGAATTCAACTACCCATCAAAAAGATCATACACCATGACCAAGTAGGATTTATCCCAGGGATGAGAGGCTGGTTTAACATTCGGAATTCAATCAACATAATCCACCATATCAACAAACCAAAAGATAAAAATCATATGATCATATCAATAGATGCAGAGAAAGCATTTGACAAGATCCAGCACCAATTTATGATGAAAACCCTCGCCAAAATGGGGATAGAGGGGACTTTCCTCAATATAGTTAAAGCCATCTACCACAAGCCTACAGCAAGCATCGTCCTCAATGGCGAAAAACTGAGAGCCTTCCCCCTAAGATCAGGGACAAGACAAGGATGCCCACTCTCTCGACTGCTGTTCAATATAGTACTAGAAGTACTTGCAAAAGCGATTAGGCAAGAAAAAGATATTAGGGGCATCCAGGTAGGAAAGGAAGAAATCAAGCTCTCACTATACGCACATGATATCATACTATACTTAGAGAATCCTAAAGCCTCCACCAAGAAACATCTAGAAATAATAGGCTTGTACAGTGAAGTTGCAAGCTATAAAATCAATACCCAAAAGTCCATGGATTTCCTGTATGCAAATAGTGAAAGAGAAGAAAGTGACATGAAGAAAACAATCCGTTTGCAATTTTGCCCCAGAAAATCAACTACCTAGGAATTAGTTTAACTAAGGAAGTAAAGGACCTGTACAAAGAAAACTACAAAACGCTACTTCAGGAAATAAAAGAGGATACGAGGAAATGGAAAAATATCCCCTGTTCATGGATCGGGAGAATTAACATTGTCAAAATGGCAGTATTTCCCAAAGCACTGTATAAATTAAACGCAATCCCTATTAGGATACCCATGACATTCTTCAAATAAGTGGAGCAAACACTCCTGAAATTTATATGGAACAATAAGCCCCCACGAATAGCTAAAGAAATTCTTGGGGAAAAAGAAAATGGGAGGAATCAACCTCCCTAACTTCAAACTCTACTACAAGGCAGTAATAATTAAAACAGCATGGTACTGGAACAAAGGCAGAGCTGTAGACCAATGGAACAGGGTTGAATATACTGACATCTCCCCCCCCAAGCATATGAGCATCTAATCTTCGATAAGGGGGCAAGAAAAGTAAAGTGGAGTAAGGAAAGCCTCTTTAACAAATTGTGCTGACAAAACTGGATGGCTACATGCAAAAAAATGGGCTCAGATCTTCGCCTAACTACATGTACAAAAGTAAGACCTAAGTGGATTAAAGACCTCAACATCAGACCGGAATCCATAAGGTACATTGAGGAAAAAGTTGGCAAAACCCTCCATGACATAGAAGCTAATGGTGTCTTCAAAGATGTCACACCGCTGGCCAAACAAGTGAAAACAGAGATAGACAAATGGGACTATCTTAAACTAAGAAGCTTCTGCACCTCAAAAGAAACAGTGACCAAAATACAAAGACAGTCTACAGAGTGGGAAAGGATATTCGACAAATACACATCCAATAAGGGGTTAATGCCAAGGATATACAAAGTACTGGTTGAACTCCACAAAAAGAAAACATTCAACCCCATCAAAAAAATGGGGAGATGAAATGAATAAAAACTTTCACAAAGAAGAAATCCGAATGGCTAAAAAGCACATGAAAAAAAAAAATGCTCCACATCATTAATCATCAGGAAGATGCAGATAAAAACCACAATGAGATATCATTTCACACCACAGAGACTGGCCCATATCCACAAGAACAAAAGCAACCGGTGCTGGCGTGGATGTGGTGAGAAAGGGACACTCCTTCACTGTTGGTGGAAATGCCAACTGGTTCAGCCTTTGGAAAACAGTATGGACGATTCCCAAAAAATTAGAATTTGAGCTCCCATTTGATCCAGCAATACCACTCCTGGGAATATATCCCAGAGAGGCAAAAATGTATAGTCGAAGTGACATCTGCAATTGTCTGTTCATTGCAGCCCTGTTTACAATAGCCAGAATCTGGAAAAAAAACCTGAGTGCCCAAGAACAGATGACTGGTTAAAGAAACTTTGGTACATTTACACAATGGAGTACTATGTAGCTGTTAGAAAAGAGGAAGTCAAGAAATTTACATACAAGTGGCACGACATGGAAAGTACCATGTTAAGCGAAATGACTCAGAAAGAAACTGATAGACATAGAAAGCTTGCATTCATCTGGGGAACATAAAGTAAAAAAATAGGAGACTAACACCCAAGAATGGCCGAAATTAGTACCAGGAATTTTACTCCATGGCTTGGAGGCCAACCACGCATACTAGGGGAAAAGGGAACTCAGATAGAGAAAGGAACACCAAATAAAGGTGGATCTTGGGAAGATCCTCCCAGGATGGGAGAAGCATGAGGAAAGTAGACTATAGACTAAACATGATTGACACACATTACCTCTTTTGCAAACCACAACACCCAATAAGAGAGAGAGAACAAAAGGGAATGCCCTGCCACAGAGGCAGGGTGGGATGGGGGGTGGAAGGGATACTGGGATCCGTGGTGGTGGGAAATGGGCACTGGTGGAGGGATTGGTAGTTGATCATTGTATAATTGAAACCCAAGCACAAAAATGTGTAAGTCTGCAACTGTACCTCATGATGTCTCACTATTAAAAACATTTTTAATATAAAAATAAAAATAAAAACAAACAAAAAAAAACAGAGGCAGGCGTCTAATTCCTCATGAATACTTTTATCATTGAGAACACAGATCACCAACAATGTGTATGTCTGTGTGTAAATGTGTGTGTGTAGCATACTATTTCCAGAAGAGAGTGCCGCTATGGATATGTCCTCATAAAATTACATACAAATGTGGGGAGTGGGAGGGATACTGGGATCCGTGGTGGTGGGAAATGAGCACTGGTGGAGGGATGGGTATTTGATCATTGTATAATTGAAACCCAAGCACAAAAATTTGTAAGTCTACAACTGTACCTCATGGTGTCTCACTAATAAAAATTTTTTAAATTATAAATATAATATAAAAGCCTTACAAATTTAAATCCTACTTCTATCATTAATTAATAATGGACTTAAACAAATTATTCACCTCCTCTAAGTCATTTCTTTATAAGGGAAATGGGAAAAATAATAAACCAAGAATCCACCACATTATTCAATGTGACCACATTGATCAAGCATTTATAAGCCTTTCTAATGGAAAATAAATTAGGTAAGCTACTTCTGACAACAGGTCACTCCAAATAAAAATCTAAAATTTAATTTTTAGTATTTAAAATTGAATCACAAAAAATTTGAACAGAATAACAAAAAGGAAAGTAATCCACAAAATGGGATAAATAATTTGCAAGTCATATTGATAAAGGGAATTATATCGAGAGAATTAATATAAAGAAATATTAAAATAATAAAAGGATAATTTTATTGGGCAAAAAATATAAACCAAAAAAATAATGGTATGTGAATATGTATTTGAGGTTAAATGTTGTGTTAGGATACAGTGATCACATACATAGATGCACTCAGTTCCCCCACATAATTGACCAACCCTTAGTAAGTGCTTTGGTGAGGGACCATTCTTCTAGGGAAGCAGTTTTACATCAGGGGAGGAGAACGTAGAGGTCAACTGCTCTTTCGATTCTGCCTTAGAGCTAACCTTTAACAACTATCGGGACTGCAGTATTGTACTGGGTGTTCAGTGCTGAGGATACTCACAGTTGCATCTTGTACATCGCCTTTAACCACCAGAACCCTCAGGCCTCCTGGAGTGATCAGAATTTGTCTGTTTCCAGGATCCTTCTGTGAATCTGGCAGGACAGAAGTTGGAACAATGGGCTGCGAAGCAGTACCAGGCAGGGTGTGGTTAAATGAAGTTTTCACAGTTTCAGCAAAGGCCATAACAGTTTTCTCAGCTGCGTCTACAAGATAAATCTCTTTCAAGGTGTGTCCCTCCCACTCAAATTGGAAATATTTCTTGATGGCCGAGACAATGATATGTGTACATTGGCTTAAGGGGAAGCCAGCACCAGTGCCTATGGCAGGGATGGCAATGGAATGGTATTTGTGGTCTTCAGCCAAGCGCAGGCTTTCCTGCACAGCTCTTCTTAACACGTTTGCACAGTTCTGGGCCTTAGCCTTCACCCACCTGGGTCTGACTGCATGGATCACGTGGTCATACGGAAGATTTCCAGCTTTAGAGATGGTGGCACAGCCCGGGAGAATCTTGCCCTGGCTCTTCACTATCCGGTCACAGTCACTTTGGAGCTCAGGGCCCGCGGCTTTGGAGAGAGCAGCCGCAAGGCCCCCACTGTGCTTGAGGTCCCTGTTGGCCGCATTGACCACCACTTCCACCGGAAACCGGGTCAGATCACCCTGCTGCACACTCAGTGACACCCCAGGGGACACGTTCGTCCTGAGGTAGCACTTCTGGCCGTCACTGTCACCTCCCTTCTTCTCTTCATTCTCCTGAAGTTCAATAAAACAACCAAACTGCCTTTTCACCTCACTTTTATAAAACCGAGCTTTTTCCTGGAAGAATTGTCTGGCTCCTGGCTTGTCAGTCTGGAAACTTCTAATACAGACTGAGTCCCTGGCGTGCTTGAGAAGGTTCATTCCCTCCCCAACTAGGTTCTTGGGGCCAGTTAGTAAAATGCTTTTTGGGTTACTTTCTTTATTAAATTGTACCTGCACATTCTTTGCCTTTAACTGTTGGCACAATGTTTTCTTTTCTGATTTTAAATAATAAAAAACTAAGGTAGTATTGACTTCAATCAATCCCTTGATTACTGTATGTTTTTCCAGGAAGTCAAACAGAGAGTCGTAGACTTGGCTAACTTCTCTCACACAGCCTGCTATGATGACCTCAGCAGTGGTTTCTGAAGTTAACTTATGGAGTATCACAAACTTTAAGGAATAGTTATGTTGCGTGTGCAAAGTGCTGATGAGAGCGTTCCATTTGTTGCCATCAAGAACTTTACTGTCTTCAACCTCTATGCGCTTATAAATTAAGGCACTCATCATTTGTTTTTCAGCTTCTGCTAGTACTTCAGAAGAACAGCTGGTTAAGAGAACAGTCCTAGACTGTAGCTCATACACTGCAAGAATTTTCTGTGCTATAAAAAGAAACCTGGAAAATTCCCCACAGTCTACCTGTTGCAAAAACTGGAAAACCTCAGGGGGGACCTGAATGTTCTTCTGGGCCATGCTGAACACCTTTTCCTGGATTTCACATTTAAGTTTATACACATCTAAATGGGGTCCTTTGAAGTACAGGTGCTGAGAGGTTTCATCATAAGTCATCTCCATCTCTGGGAACTTAGTCTGGACACCCTCCAGTGTCCCACTTTGGCACAACAGACAATACTTCCCTGAAGAAACTTTCAGTTTTTCTTTCAGACTTTGCTGTTCTCTTTCAATTTTTTGAGCCATGCTTTTTATTAAGTTCTTGATTTTTGATTCAATATCTTCTACAATCTCTGACCTCCCCACCAAGGAAACAAGCTCCATAGATGTATCAAACTCAATCAAAAGCCTATCATCTTCTGTGTCTTTCTTTATGGTATCCCACATGATTGGATCCACCTTGAATGAGGTGACCTTGTATTTGGACCTAAGGTCAGAGAATATTGTGGAAACTTTCTCCTGCCAGGTCTTGATTATTTTCCTTCCCTGACTGAGTAATGTGTCCATAGGGTTGATGATAACTTCTCCATTGAGTTGGGACCAAATTAGCTCACAGTGACAATGTGCCATTTCATCATTTATCTCCCTAATTAGGTGATTCTTTTTCTGCAAGAACTTCCATAAGAGACAGTCCAATGATTCTCTGAACGGTGCTGGAAGTTTAATCAGAGGCTTCTCCTTTCCATACAAGGCTGTGCCCAGTGAGGTGTAGTATGGAAACACAGAGAGTGGCATGTTATCGATTTCAAGTTTTTTGGTCAAGATGGTGTCTAGGACTTAAGAGGAAAGAAATAAAATATATATCACAGTTGTAATGTATTTTCCATTGAAAACACTCTTTTCTAAGTAAGGAAATTCAAATAGTGCTCAAATATGAATGTTATAGACCATATTGTACAGGTATCTCATGTTTAATGGGTTTCAATACTTTCTAGCCAAGAAAAATCTATCTTGAAATCTGTCAAGCAAATTCATCTTTATTTTTCATCTACTAACAGTGTTTCTGATAGGTTAAAAAACTCACTTCTATTGTGACTTTCATTATATATTCAGTGAATTAAATTTGTTAGTTACCCACAATGATGCATGAACATCTTAAATCATAGACAACTTAAGAACAAGTGGATAGTAACATGCATATATAGATTTTTTTGTTTGCTTTTTGGTTTTTAGGCTCCACTTGATGGTACTCAGACATTACTCTTAGTTCTACATGCAGGAATCAATTCTTGAAGGGATCTGGGATCACATGTGGTGCCATGGGTTGTACCCAGATTAGCAGGATGCAAAGCAAGTGCTCTACCTACTGTACTATGCCTCTTATCCCCAACTTAAAAATTTTTTTGAAGCACCATGATTTCCAATACTGTTAATTTCATGCAAGTAATGTTCTAACCAATACCATACCCTCCACTAGAGAGTTTTTTCCTCCAAAATTATCTCCATATCTCCTTGCCTCCACCACTAACTGCTGTGGTAAGTGCAGTACTAAGGACCAGTTCTCATTTCTGTTGCATTGACTAATTTTTTGTACCTTACTTTTTTATTTTTTAAAAGAACATTAGAGAGATCTTTCTGTTTCTTTTCTTCTTTTTCTAATATCACTCAGCTTAATACTCTTTGGATCAATTTATTTAGTCACAAATTGCCTAATTCAGTCCCTTCTTAAACCCTAGTATTCCATTGTGAATATTTACCATAATTTTTTTTAATCTAGTCATCTGTTCTTGGACACTCCAGTTGTTTTCAGATTTTGACTATATTGAATAGTGCTGTAATGTACATAGGAACACAAATATCTTTTTGGAAAAGAGTCTTGGGTCTCTTGAATTAGATGTATAGAAGTTAAAATTTTGAGACACATGTAAGCTCAATTCTTAATTTTTGGAGAAATTTCCATATTGTTTTCCAAGAGTGGTAACACTAATTTATAACCATCTTGTTAGAAAATATATAGGCATTTTGTCACAAGTCTGTTGATAATATCTACTTCAGTGTAAGTGTTTTTGTTGTTCAAAATGAAACCTATCCAGGATCATGCTATATGCTTCTTCTTGTAAAATCCCACAATATTTATTAAGTGTTTGTACATTATTTAGGTTCCATTGATGCCTATAAAGGAAACTAAATGTAATAATCATCCTCATAGCTTACTATGTGTCACACTATTTCAAGTGCATCACCTGTTATTTTGTTCATTGACTCTCCCTTTGATGAAAGAGGGACTATATCTCTTATATTTTATACAAATAATAAAATGGAGGCTAGTATATTAGATAACTCAAAATGGGTAACATAGACTGTAAATATCTGAATTAATATTCAAATATCTGATCCCAAATCCCATGTTCTTGTCTTATCAGTGGTCCCACTGCCCCGTTGAGAGTCCTAACTTGCAATTTATATAAATTCTGACTTTTTTCCTGTTAAGGCTACTAAATCCCTCCAACTACTTTCAGTGGAACAGTTTCCAGGGCAGATGTTTATAAATGTGTATTTTGTGGGTGAGGGAGACATTCTGCTTCCAACCAGCTTCTAATTTTGTGTGGTTAGACAGTCACACTGGGTCTAAGAATTAAACAAGTTGGAATAAATAGTTAACAATCTGGGTCACGTGCTCAGCACTGATGGCTGTGGCCCTGGAGAGCCTTGAATACTACCACACCACTAGAGTGGCCATCGTGGCCACTGCAGGGCTGAGATGCACCTTATCCAAGACCCCAGCACTGCTCAGCATTGACCTGTCAACCAAGTTGGCCTAGGATCACTGGGCATGAGTCTTCTATACTCCATCAGAAACCCCACACCCCTACAGCCCTTCCATATGAAACAAACAAAAAACGCCCCAAAAACTTGGATTAAGAGAGTACATTTAGACGATGATCTCTTGTGGGTGATTGGTTCCTCGAAAGTTAACAAGGTTTAATGAAAAGAACAAGGGTTTTGGAGGCAGACATAGAGCTTCAGTTGCACAACATGGCCTCTGTCTCTGTATATGAGAATTACTAGAGGCCACCAACACCTTCTGAGCACATGCTGTGTCTAGAATATTATAGAAATCATTTCACTCATATCTCATAATGTTCTTCAAAGGTCAGTAGTAGCATATGCTCTCTTTTTCAAAAGCATAAAATGTAGTGTTAAAGTAACTAGCACAAGATTGCCGAGCCAACCAGAACCACAGTAAGGGAAATGCAAACTAAAACAATCATAAGCTATCACCTCACACCACAGACACTTGCACTCATCAAAAAGAACAACAGCAGCCAGTGTTGGTGAGAATATGAGGAAAACAGGACCCTCATTCACTGCTGGTGGGAATTTTGACTGCTCTGGCCTTTGTGGAACACAATGTGGACATTCCTTTAAAAAGTAGATATTGAGCTTCCATATGTTCCAGCAATTCTACTCCTAGGAATATACCTTAAGGGCCCCAAAACACAATGCAGAAAAGGCATTGGCACTCCTATATACAACCTGGAAACAACCTGAGTGCCCAAGAACAGACGAATGGATAAAGAAACTATGGCACATCTACACAATGGAATACTATGCAGTTGTAGGAAAAAATGAAGTCATGAAATTTGCCTATAAATGGATGGACATAGAAAGTATCATGCTAAATAAAATGAGCCAAAAGGAAAGGGACAGATATAGAATGACTGCATTTATTTGTAGAAGAATAATATCCATGGCTAGGGAAAAAACCAGGGGTTAGGAGGACTTGTCAAGTGCTTGGAACTAACCACAAGTGGGAGGGGTAGGAGGCTGAAGGTAGGTAAGATAGAGAAGAGACTGCTATGACAATAATATCTGGGAATGATCACGTTGGACAAGATCTGATGGTTAAAAGTAGGTAAAGGAATATTTTTGATAACTTTTCAGTATCAAAATTGCAGACCATAATGTCCAAAAGAAGAGAGAGAGAGAGAGAGAGAGAGAGAGAGAGAGAGAAAGCACCTAGAGGCAGACAGGGGGTGGGGTGTATGGGGGGGTGATTGGAAAAACCCTGGGGAAAATGGTGCTGGGGAATGTACACTGGTGGAGGGATGGGTGTTGGAATACTGTATGACTGAACCTTGATCATTAACAGCTTTATAAGGGTCTATCTCACAATGATTCAATTAAAAAGTTTAAAAAAATAAATGAGTAAAATTGTGCAAAGAAAATTCTTTTTTTGAGCAAATTCTTAAAAATTAATTAATTTATAAATTTTGTTCTTGTGCCACACCTAGTGGAGCTCAGAGTTTACTCATGGATCTGTGCTCAGGGATAACTCCTGGTGGACTAAGGAACCACATGAGGTTCAAACTGGGTTGGCTGTGTGCTCCAGACCCTGATCCAGATTTTATGGTTGAATAAAATTGATTTCAGTGGAAAGTGTCTAACTTACACCTCTCAAAGGATATGCATAAAAATATTGCTAAAAACAGTTTTAACTAAGCTTCATCTTAGTATGCTTCATTATTGATATTTGCTATATTGCTGAAATAGTCTACATAAAATATTTTTTGGCTTTTTTTGAGTTACACCTGGCGATGCACAGGGGTTACTCCTAGCTCTCTCAGGAATTATCCCTGGCAATGCTTAGGGGACCATATTGGATGCTGGGAATTGAACCAGGGTCAGCCGCGTGCAAGGCAAACGCCCTACCAGCTGTGCTGTTGCTCCAGTCCCTCTACATAAAAATTAATGTGAAAAGTAAATAGGAAATTTGGGGAAGTAGAGTTGTTAAATGTAGAGTCTGCAGGGTCAAACTGCTTGGATTTAAGTGCTGAAGAGAGAGAGAAAGAGAGAGAGGAAGGGAGAGGGAGAGAAAGAGAGAGAAAGAAAGGGAGAGGAAAGGAAGAGGAAGATGGAGAGAGAAGAAAAGTGCCTGATATTGGAGTGAGGGTCGGGGGAGCTGGGATCATTGGTGGTGAGAAATATACACTGGTGGAGGGATGGGTGTTGGAACACTGTATGACTGAAACCAGAGCATGAACATTTGTAACTGTGTATTTTATGATGACTCAATTTTAAAAAATGCTGTCTTTGTCATTTACTGGCAGTGTAATAGTGAGATTGTTTGCCCTCTGTGTCTCTGTTCCTTCATGTGTACACAAAGACTATAATAAGAGACATTCACATAAGAAAATATCTGAGACATCTGTGTATCTTAGACCACTGAGAGAGGGAATGAGAGTGTGGAGAGGTGAGCTCAGCCGTCAAGTGGTGCAAGAAGGCAGTGTGAATGGGGCCTTTTGAGAGTGCTCCTAAACCATTCCTGTGTCCTGTGGTCTAAAAGAGTCCTTAATTAAATAGCTCTTATTAGTCATTAGACATGTGAAACTTACACTCTGAGAAAGACATTCTGGGAGCTTATCTTACAGACTGGAAAACTTCATGCTGCTCTTTCCCAGGCCCCCAGATCATATTGGTGAAAACTTAAGGAGAATATGACAATAGTATTCTTTCGTCCTTTTGCCTAACGAACACCATGTCTTTGATCCTATTTTATTCATTCATTCCCATTTCCCAACTCAAAAACTACAGGAGACTTTTTTTCATGTGCCCCAGGAAACAAATTTTCCTAAGTGAGTAGCATACCACTTAATCTATGCCCCCTGACCCCCATTAATTCCAGTAACAGTGTTCCTTTTCCCCCTAAGTATTCTGGTTCCCTAATTGTTACTACTCCAGCCTTCACCTCTGACCTTTAGTGCAATCTCCTAGTTTGCTTTCCACATCAATGCAATCTCCAAAATGATTTTGCTCAAGAATTAGTGACCTTTGTCTACAAAAATCCTCATGGGTGTTTCCCTCAGCTTCCATAGGGCGTGACTTTCACAGGGACACTACAAAGACCAATCAGGCTATAATCCATGGACCATATAAAAGTCTGGTATATTGTCTTGGCCGGAGTTCAGGATGACGCAGCTGCCACCTGAACCCCTCTGCTCTCCTGAACCCAGCTCACCATCTCGCCTTAACAGCACGCAGCTCAGCACGCCAGGCATGGGACTCTATGCATGATCCCTACTGGACATCACCAGCTGTTTTGCAAGATTCAGACAGAATGGCGAAGGTGGGGTGCAAAGAAACTGTGGTGGTCGCCGCAGAGTCACCCCGTCTGGCCCGACTTGGCCAAGTCTCAGTGCCGTCAGGCATGGAGCCATGGCGGCAGTGTGCTCAGTGGCTCATCCACTGCAAGGTGCTGCCTGTCAACCACTGGGTGACCTGGGACTCGGCGCAGGTGTTTGACCTGCCGCAGACCCTGCCACAGACCCTCCAGGATAGGGTCCTGCTCTGTCAGCTGCTCAGCAACCTCCCAGCGCTCTCCATCAATCTCAAAGAGATAAACCTGAGGCCACAGATGTCCCAGGTGCTGCACAGAGACACAGGCCGTTGCTGTTTGTCAGCGTGCAGATCTTTACAACATGCCAGTTGACCAAAAGCTTGCATTCTGTATACTGGGAACACCTGTCAAGGCAATTAGAGTCTGCCCCAAAAGCATCCGTCCCTTTCAGAGAACCCGGTAAGCTATTGAGGGTATCCAGCCCAAACAGCCAAGCCTGGCAAGCTACCCATGACATATTTGATATCTTAAAAACAGTAACAATAACGGGCGTCATTCCCTTGACCCTGAAAGAGCCCTCAACACGGCAGTGTAGAGTAGGACGAGTAAGGAGAGGCTGCTAAAATCTCAGAGTCAAACTAGGCTGCCAAAACAAAGGACTAAAATGACTGTCTGTACTTTCAATGCATGCACACTGGCTTCAGAAGCATCCATCAAGGACCTGATGGTGCAAGTGCAGAAGAGCAAAGTACATCATTGGACTCACTGAGATGAGACCACGAGACATCAAAAGAACGCCTGGCCGCCCACCTACGAGATGGTTGGACTTCTTCGGTTGAATAATTTATGGTTGAATAAATGACTTGATGCTCTCCATGTTCCTGGATGAAGCAGACACCATTGGGCTACACTAGCACTTGACAGGGACAAATGGAGATGTTACTGGTGCCCGCTGGAGCAGATCGATGATCAACAAGATGACAGTGATACAGTGATACATATAAAACTACCCTATCTGAATGATGAAAGAGGATTCGCAGTTGAAAGGGGTAGTGAAGTTACTTTATGGATCAATGTGTGGTTCTGAACATTTCTCTTCCTAACCTTGTTGAATGAGAATATCTAACACATATACCACTAAAGCAAAAATCATTTTTTTCTAAAAAATGAGTAGTTTTAAAGACACCAAGAATTAAATTTGGGAGGAGGCAAATCTGGTGGTGTTCATGGCTTCTCCTGGCTCTGCTTTCAGTGATAACAATTAGCTGTGCTCAGGGAGCCATATGGAGTACCAGCGTCCAAACCCACCAGGTCAATCACATGCAAGGAAAGTGCCCTACACACTATATTATATCTCTGAGTCCTGAACTAAATATTTTTAGTAGAAAATCAAAGTGTTTCACACTACAACTTAAAAAAGCTTGACATTGTATCTTTAAAGTTGAATCACAAATTTATTGAGCATATAGCCCAGGTAAAGAGGCTAATTTAATTTCCAGTGACATATGGGACAAAAAATGAAAACTATAATAATAACTCAACTATATAATAACTCAATTATCTCTACTACATTCTAATAAAATTAACTTATTCAAGGTAACTTTATAAAATCAGGCTAAAATATATTACCTTCTCTTTCAAAGAATTCAATCAGAGCTGAACTCTCTTCAGGAAAACATTCAACTTTTGCAACTCTTCCCCCTCCACTTTGAGGATTTTCAAATAAATCTTTTAACTTTTGGTCACCCACAGTAGGTGGAAGATTTTCCACCCTGATTGTTCTTGTCTCTTCCAGAAGTCTTGAAGACAGTTGAGGATTTTTCATTTTACAATCATCCAGAAATTTTATGATATCTACAAATAAAAATAAATGAAGAAATAAGAAAGCTATAATCATGTCTTTATAATCTATAGAAGAAATGGAATCTTAACTGTGATAAAATGAGAAGTAAACTTTCTTTTTCAGAGGCTAAATTTTAATTTCTACATGAATTTACAGTAGCAATTCTAAAGCAATACTAAAACACTAAATCAGTCTATTCATGACAAACGTGAAAATTTTACCTGCCTTCAATCCCAACTCTCTCCAGCCTCCTTGATGTGGCATCAGAGTGCTATTCCTACAACACAAGCATTCTCATTTCCTGCAATTCTCAAATGCTGTCACAGCTCCTCATTACTTGCAAGCATGAGTTCATGCTTCTTGGTTAGGTTTAAAATGTCTTTGACTGTTGGACTCCAAACTAATTTTTGAGTATCACCCCTGTGTTGTTCATGGTACTTTTTTCTTCATATTATCACAAAGACTAGAATACAGTGAAAACTGTTTCTAATTATTCTTTTTCTGGGTGGATGGGCCTTACCAGTGGTGCTCAGTGTTTATTCCTGGCTCTGTACTCAGGGATTACTCCTGGCAGTGTTCAAGGAGTATCTGGGGTGCTAGTCTGAACTGGGTCAGGGTGCACAAGGCAAGCACACAACCTGCTATACTATTGCTCAGCATCTTTCTTTGAATACACAATATCCAGCACCTGAAATTTTCTTTCCCATGTATTTATCTTAGTCCTAAATCAGTCCAAGTAATTTTCAAAATAGCTAATATTGAGGATGGGTCTAAAAAGTTTTAGCACAGTATTTTCTAGGATTAGGGATAAACATATGAATGTATTATCTTGCATGCTAACTATCCTGGGAGAAAATCTGGGAAGCAAATATTGCATATTATAGGATTGAATGAGGTGGGAGGGCTTTGACTGGGAATCAGACAAGAATTCCCAGAGTAAGTCATCAGGGATTCTAAGGATAAGGAGGAACTTACAGGATGATTCAGGGAAGAATACACTTCAGTCACAGAAACACTGGAGGCATGAAATAGTGTCAGAGTGTGGAGTCCTGGTGAAACATCAGGGAAGGGAGCAGGCAAGGCCAAACACCCTTGTTGGGGCCCCTTTGCTTCCACCCCCACTGCTCAGGAGGCAGCACCTCCTCTTGCACCTTCGTTATTCATTTTCACATGAGCTTCTTAGAGCGAAGGAAACAGGAACTCTTTTTCTGTACCCACATCATCTCAACAAGTGCTGGCACATAGAGATGATTCAAGATTTTTTTGATCAGTGAACAAAACCATATCCATTTAGCCAATAGTCAAGTCCTTAATAAAAATACTCACACACTGAAATAATATCTCCTTGTTTTGAGGCATAACCAGTCTTAGTTACTCTGTGAAGAGCTTTTAATCACTATTTAATCCTATTAAATGAATCTGGTGTCAGTATTTCCATTTCACAGGTGATAGTACAGTACATAGTGTATAGAAACTAGTCCAAACAGTTACATGGCAGAATAGAAATTTACTCTATGGCAGCACTTTTAATCAATCCATGGCCATGGAACAGTATGGACCTAGAAGTAGATAATGTCTTTGTCTCTCTGGACAAGATTTCTCAAATCTCAGACAGTGGTCCACAGAACACTCATTTTCTACACGTCATGTTGTTACTCGTCCTGCACATGTGATGGGACACAGCACTAAGGAATCTATGGTAGACGGAACAGGAGCACAAGCTATAGAGATGGGGTACAGGTGTTCAAATTTAGTTTTTCCATTTATTGCCCTCTCTATGCCTCGATCTCCTGTTTAATATAGGGGGGATAATAATTATAATAATCTCATGAGAACGTTATACCAAAATCACAGATAAATGGCTTAACGTGGTATATAAACCATCACTTAAATCACTTAATCACTTAACTTCCCGTTAGTCGTCGATTTGCTCGAGCGGAAGCCAGTAACGTCTCCATTTGTCCCTGTCGCGTGCTAGTGCAGCCCAATGGCATCTCTTCGCTCCGGGAACATGAAGGGCCTCAAACCGATCATTCATGATCTTGACGAAGAAGTCTGACCATCTGGTAGGTGGGCGGCTACGCGGTCTTTTGACATCCCGTGGAATCCAGTCCGTAACAGCTCTAGTCCAACGGTCGTCTTTAAATCTCATTACATGACCAGCCCATCTGATTTTCGACACCTTGGCAAATGAGACAGCGTCCCTGATCCTTGATCGTCGATGGATGTCAGAACTCCGGATTCTTTCTCTCACTTGAGTGAAACGTGATATTCCAAGCATAGCTCTTTCTATTCTTCTTTGGGAGCCCTGAATAGCATTCTCATCTTGTTTGCGTAGGGCCCAGGTCTCTGAGGCATATGTTAATGCAGGAAGAACAGTGGAATCAAAGAGATGTGCCCGGAGCCGGAGGTTCTTCGTCCTCTTAGCTATTTCTTCGATGTTCTTGAAGGCGTTCCAAGCTGCTCTCTTCCTCCTGCGCAGCTCGGGTGCCAGGTCATTTCTCATGTTGACCTCTCGACCTAGGTACACATAGCTGTTGCATTCGGAGATGGTCGTTCCATTGAGAGCGAATGGGGCGTCAGGAACGAGGCTGTTTCTCATAAACATTGTCTTCGTAAGATTCATCTGTAGTCCTGCCTTTCCACACTCACGGTCAAAGTCGGCCAGCATTTGTGCCGCTTGGCTGATGTTTGGTGTTATTAAAACAATGTCATCAGCATGATGGTGTAGTTGCCGACCATCTATCTTCACTCCCATTCCTTCCCATTCCAGTCGTCACATGATGTTCTCGAGGGTGGCACTGAAGAGTTTCGGTGAAATGGTATCACCCTGCCACACCCCACTCTTGACATCAACGATCACTTCTTTGTAGAATGGTGAGATCCTGGTAGTGAATCTGTAATACAGCTCACAGAGGATCCTGATGTATTGAGTTTGAATGCCCTGTTTGGCTAGGGCTTCAATGACCGCTTCCGTCTCAAGAGAATCAAAGGCCTTCTTTAAATCAATGAACGTTAAACAGAGCAGCATCTTGAACTCCCGAGAAACCTCAATGAGCTTGGTTATCGTGTGGATATGGTCGATGGTGCTGAATCCTTTGCGGAACCCTGCTTGCTCAAATGGTTGTCCTTCATCTAGTGTTCTGCCAATCCTATTTAGGATGACTCGAGTGAACAACTTGTAGATGAGAGACAATAGGCAGATCGGGCGATAGTTGCCAATGTCATGGATGTCTCCCTTCTTGAACAGTAGTACGGTCCTGCTGGTTTTCCATTGGGACGGAACCTTGCATTCAGACAGGTAGCGAGTGAAGAGCCGAGCCAGTGTATTGATGAGTACTGACGGCAGGTTCTTCAGGTGTTCAGGTCTGACCTTGTCTGGGCCGGGTGCTGTTTTTTTCTTTACCGAGGAAATGGCGTGCCGGATTTCGGAAGGGAGAACGTTGGGAACGACATATCCATCCTGTGGAATTTGGTATGTCGGCAAGTGGACATGGCTATCGAAGAGATTTGAGTAGAAGTCATGGATAATCTTCTCCATTGCCGTTCTGGAGGATGTGATGGATCCATCAGGACGTCGGAGGGCAGTCATCTTGGTCTTATAGTTGGCGAAGGACAGGCGGGCGTTATGAATACTTTTCCCGGCTTCTGCCGCATCTACCAGTACTTCTGCTCTTCTCTCTTTGACGTCTTCCTTGATCGCATCTCTGCACTGTTTTGCGAGCTCGGACGTTAGCTTGCAGTTGCCTGAGGCATGCACCAAACCACGCTGGCGAATTAGATCAAGAGTTTTCGAAGATAGGCGACTTTTTGTGGCTATCTCTCTCTTGGCGTTCCTCGCACATTCATGGAGGTGCTGAACCAGTCGATCGTATTCCTCGTCAATGTTGTCTACAATGGCATCTTCCCATGATGCCGCAATAGTACCAAAGAGTTCCCAGTTGGTGGTCATTCTGGGAGTTCTCTTTTTGAACTTTGCAGCCCTTTCTCCCCGCTCTGTGAAGTAGAATTTTGCACGAAGGAGACGGTGGTCCGATCCCGTTCGAAATTTTGGGACAACAGCGACATCAGTCAGGCAAAACCGTCGATTGAATATGATGTGGTCTATTTCGTTGTGGAATCGTCCACCGGGAGACTCCCATGTCCATCGTTTAGATTCTGCCTTCTGGAACTGTGAGTTACCATGAATGGTCTTGGTCGACATGATGAACTCAGACAGTCTCTCACCCTGTTCGTTCCATTCTAGGCCATGGGTCCCGATGTGAAGTTCTTCAGCTGATCTTCTCGGTCCTATCTTGGCATTAAAATCACCCACAATGATCTTGTAGAAGGTGTGGTCTTCTTTATAGAACTTCTCTAGCTCCATGTAGAACTTCTCGATTTCTCTTTCATCATAAACCATAGTGATCATACATATCATACATATCTTACATATAAACCATAGTGATCATAATCATTGTGTGAGCGCTTGCTGTTATTGGTTTTACCCTCCTGTTTTGGAAACACAGGCCTATTTAGTTTTTACCAAAGATAATACACATGAGAAACTGCTGGTTTCTCAGCTGAGACATTAGGTTTTCATTGACCATATTAGATTTTTCATTGACCATCTCTCTTCACACACTCCCACAGAACTCATACAATAATCTATTTAACATAGCAGAACTGGGTTCCAAAACTCAGTTGCTTTTCTTTCATGGTATAAGACATTTTCACTAACCTGGGATTCTCTTAAAAATCATGAATCAAATTTTCCCAGACATTGAATTAACTCGGTATCACAAATCCCAAGTGTGGAGCAAAAGAGTACAAATAAGGCATCACTCCATACTACCTATGTTTTTTTGAAAGGTCACCACGGCAACTTCCAAATCTTGTATCATTTCCACTTGAAAGTCATCACTGGACAGGCCACTTATATTTTCCACTAAAGAGATCAACTTCATCTCATTTACATAAGTCTGAAGATTTTCAAATACAACTTTCTTCTTTGAAAGATACGTGTTTGGGGTATCTTCAATATTTTCTGGTGCTCTAATGACAGAGTAGTTTGTATCCAATTCTTCTGACACATCTGATTTTTAGAGGGACAGAGAGGAAGATGAGGATATTAATATTTATCTACTAAGATTTTAGGAAATATCCTCATAATACATTATCTTATTTCCTTTCAAATCTAAGATTTTAGGAAATATCCTCATAATACATTATCTTATTTCCTTTCAAATCTCTTGGCTGACTCAAATGGAAACAGATCTCGAAGGCTATTTGTCTAATTTGCTTAATAACATAATTAAGTATTTAATATTATTAAGTTATATTTTATTGCACCCTTCTAGCCTACTCTCTATGAGGAGACTGTCTTGTCTTTCATAGCCCTTTAATTACACTTAAATTTCAGTGTTATGATATTGTTTTTGACTATATTTTTATAAACCCAGGGATATGTTTATTCTTGTATTTCTGGAACATTAAATGTAGTTGATAACTATGTGGCCATTTGCTGAACTGAAAGTTTACTGCTTAGCCTGTGGAAGTAAAGAAGATTATATGATGATTTCTTCCTTTACTCCTGAATGCCCTTAATATCTTTTTCTTGCCTAACCATTATTGCAAGTATTTACAGTACTACATTGAAAAGCAGTGGAGAGAGTGGGCATCCTTGTATTGTCCCTGATCTCAGAGGGAAGGCTCTCAGTTTTTCTCCATTGAGGATGATGCTTGCTGTAGACTTGTGGTAGATGGCTTTAGCTATATTGAAGAAAGTACCCTCTATACCCATTTTGGCAAGTGTTTTCATCATAAACGGCTGCTGGATCTTGTCAAATGCTTTCTCTGTATCTACTCATATGATTATATGGTTTTTATCCTTTCTTTTATTGATATGATGGATTACGTTAATTGATTTCTGAATGTTAAACCGTCTTAGCATCCCCAGAATGAATCCTGGTTGGTCATGGTGTATGATCTTTTTGATGAGTTGTTGAATTCTATTTGCTGGTACTTTGTTGAGAATCTTCGCATCCGTGTTCATTAGGGATATCAGCCTGTAGTTTCTTTTATTGTGGTGTTTTTGTTTCCTTTTGGTATTAGAGAGATATGAGCTTCATAGAAACTGTTTGGTAGAGTTTTTCTTTCTTCAATTTCCTGGAAAAGCTTTAGAAGAACTGGCAATAGCTCCTCTTTAAATGTTTGGAAAAATTCACTAGTGAATCCATCTGGACCTGGGCTTTTGTTTTTGGGAAGACTTTTGATTACAGTTTCAATTTCCTTGATATTAATAGGACTATTCAGATATTCTAGATCTTCTTGAATCAGCCTTGGGAGATTATAAGGAATCCAGAAATTTATCCATTTCTTCTAGGTTCTCTTTTTTCTTGGCATACAGACTTTCAAAGTAGTCTCTGATAATCTTTTAAATTTCTTTGGTTTCTATCCCCCATCTCATTTCTGATTCAGTTCATTAGGGTTCTGTCTCTCTCTTTCTTTCTGAGTCTTGCTAGTGGTTTATCTATCTTATTTATTTTCTTGAATAGACAGCTCTTGGTTTCATTGATATTTCAGATTTTTTTTTGTTTCCATGTCATTGATTTCTGCTCTAAGTTTTAGAATCTCTTTACTTCTGCCTGATTTGGGCTCTTTTTGTTGATCCTTTTCTAAGATCTTGAGCTGTGACGTCTAGTTGTTTATGTGGGCCCTTTCTTACTTCCTGAGAAATACTTGTAGAGCTATAAATTTTCCCCTTAACATGGCTTTAGCTGCCTTCCATAGGTCCTGGTAGCTCGAGTCTTCATTCTCATTTTCTTACAGGTATCTTTTGATTTCGTCCTTGACTTCCTTCCTGACCCATTAGTTGTTCAGCATTGAGTTATTTAATTTCCAGGTGTTTGATTTGCTTTTCTGTGTCTGAGTGTGATTCACTTCTTTTCTCAGTATATCATGGTCTGAAAAGATTGTTGATACTATTTATATATTTCTGATTTTATTGAGGTATGTTTTGTGTACTAGCACATGGTCTATTTTGGAAAATGTTCCATGTGCACTGGAGAAGAATGTGTATTCTTTTGGGGGGGAGTGTAAAGCCCTGTATAGGTCTATAAGCCCTCTGTCTTCTATTTCTTCTTCAAAGTCAATGTTTCTTGCTGAGTTTTGTTCTTGTTGATCTCTCTAGAGGTGATAAGGTGATGTTAGAGTCCCTAGCTACTATTGTGTTGCTAACAGTGTCCTCCTTAAAATCTGTTAGCAGTTGTTTTAATTATTTAGCTGTTCCCTCATTAGGTGCATATACATTTCATTTCATTTCATTTCATCATCCTGTTAATCGTCGATTGCCTCGAGCAGGCCCCAGTAACGTCTCTTTCATCCTAGCCCTGAGATTATATTCAGGGCTCTTTAGGAGAATGAGACCCATCATTGTTACTGGTATTTGGCATATTTGGTAGGCCACGGGGAGTTTGCCAGACTCTGCCCTGTGGGCAGGCTACATTCGACAGCCTGCAAGTTTGTCCAAAGTAGGAATGAGATAATAAGATGTCGCGAGGCCGCGAATGCGGCCGCGTGGTTCCAGGATCTGGATTTTATAGTCTCTGAGTCTTGGCCGCTGATAGGATTACACGGCGCCAGGGGGCCAGGTGGTGGGTGTGACCCCCGCCTACTGGAATTTGGAGGATCTGGGTGGAAGATGCTCGACTCCAATTCGAGTAGGCTTGGAGGTCTCGGCCCCGGAACCCGCGTGGCTTTGTCCCTCTGCCAGTACCTTCAGGTGTGCGGAGAGTGGTCTCAGCATGGTGGTGGCTGGTCCTGGAGGTCTCCAGCTGCCGTAGCCCTGGCCGGGGCGGGGAGAAAGCTCAACCCGCTCCCCTCCAAGGGACTCCGGGAAGGAACACCGAAGCGCGGGGGCAGAGACTGCACTGCTCTCGTCCGGGATCTGGATTTTATAGTCTCTGAGTCTTGGCCGCTGATGGGATTACACGGCGCCAGGGGGCCAGGTGGTGGGTGTGACCCCCGCCTACTGGAATTTGGAGGATCTGGGTGGAAGATGCTCGACTCCAATTCGAGTAGGCTTGGAGGTCTCGGCCCCGGAACCCGCGTGGCTTTGTCCCTCTGCCAGTACCTTCAGGTGTGCGGAGAGTGGTCTCAGCATGGTGGTGGCTGGTCCTGGAGGTCTCCAGCTGCCGTAGCCCTGGCCGGGGCGGGGAGAAAGCTCAACCCGCTCCCCTCCAAGGGACTCCGGGAAGGAACACCGAAGCGCGGGGGCAGAGACTGCACTGCTCTCGTCCGGGATCTGGATTTTATAGTCTCTGAGTCTTGGCCGCTGATGGGATTACACGGCGCCAGGGGGCCAGGTGGTGGGTGTGACCCCCGCCTACTGGAATTTGGAGGATCTGGGTGGAAGATGCTCGACTCCAATTCGAGTAGGCTTGGAGGTCTCGGCCCCGGAACCCGCGTGGCTTTGTCCCTCTGCCAGTACCTTCAGGTGTGCGGAGAGTGGTCTCAGCATGGTGGTGGCTGGTCCTGGAGGTCTCCAGCTGCCGTAGCCCTGGCCGGGGCGGGGAGGAAAGCTCAACCCGCTCCCCTCCAAGGGACTCCGGGAAGGAACACCGAAGCGCGGGGGCAGAGACTGCACTGCTCTCGTCCGGGATCTGGATTTTATAGTCTCTGAGTCTTGGCCGCTGATGGGATTACACGGCGCCAGGGGGCCAGGTGGTGGGTGTGACCCCCGCCTACTGGAATTTGGAGGATCTGGGTGGAAGATGCTCGACTCCAATTCGAGTAGGCTTGGAGGTCTCGGCCCCGGAACCCGCGTGGCTTTGTCCCTCTGCCAGTACCTTCAGGTGTGCGGAGAGTGGTCTCAGCATGGTGGTGGCTGGTCCTGGAGGTCTCCAGCTGCCGTAGCCCTGGCCGGGGCGGGGAGAAAGCTCAACCCGCTCCCCTCCAAGGGACTCCGGGAAGGAACACCGAAGCGCGGGGGCAGAGACTGCACTGCTCTCGTCCGGGATCTGGATTTTATAGTCTCTGAGTCTTGGCCGCTGATGGGATTACACGGCGCCAGGGGGCCAGGTGGTGGGTGTGACCCCCGCCTACTGGAATTTGGAGGATCTGGGTGGAAGATGCTCGACTCCAATTCGAGTAGGCTTGGAGGTCTCGGCCCCGGAACCCGCGTGGCTTTGTCCCTCTGCCAGTACCTTCAGGTGTGCGGAGAGTGGTCTCAGCATGGTGGTGGCTGGTCCTGGAGGTCTCCAGCTGCCGTAGCCCTGGCCGGGGCGGGGAGGAAAGCTCAACCCGCTCCCCTCCAAGGGACTCCGGGAAGGAACACCGAAGCGCGGGGGCAGAGACTGCACTGCTCTCGTCCGGGATCTGGATTTTATAGTCTCTGAGTCTTGGCCGCTGATGGGATTACACGGCGCCAGGGGGCCAGGTGGTGGGTGTGACCCCCGCCTACTGGAATTTGGAGGATCTGGGTGGAAGATGCTCGACTCCAATTCGAGTAGGCTTGGAGGTCTCGGCCCCGGAACCCGCGTGGCTTTGTCCCTCTGCCAGTACCTTCAGGTGTGCGGAGAGTGGTCTCAGCATGGTGGTGGCTGGTCCTGGAGGTCTCCAGCTGCCGTAGCCCTGGCCGGGGCGGGGAGAAAGCTCAACCCGCTCCCCTCCAAGGGACTCCGGGAAGGAACACCGAAGCGCGGGGGCAGAGACTGCACTGCTCTCGTCCGGGATCTGGATTTTATAGTCTCTGAGTCTTGGCCGCTGATGGGATTACACGGCGCCAGGGGGCCAGGTGGTGGGTGTGACCCCCGCCTACTGGAATTTGGAGGATCTGGGTGGAAGATGCTCGACTCCAATTCGAGTAGGCTTGGAGGTCTCGGCCCCGGAACCCGCGTGGCTTTGTCCCTCTGCCAGTACCTTCAGGTGTGCGGAGAGTGGTCTCAGCATGGTGGTGGCTGGTCCTGGAGGTCTCCAGCTGCCGTAGCCCTGGCCGGGGCGGGGAGAAAGCTCAACCCGCTCCCCTCCAAGGGACTCCGGGAAGGAACACCGAAGCGCGGGGGCAGAGACTGCACTGCTCTCGTCCGGGATCTG